GCAGTGCTTAGTAGTGCATGTTGGTCTGCTAAGGGAGCTGATGCCACCTTTTCTGAAATTAAGGATTTTTAATGTAACTTTTCTTGAAAACTGTAAATATATATAGTAAATATATTTTTTACTTGGGCCCATAGTTTGAGGCTGATACTTGAGACATTCAAGCAGGGCCTTGCGTAAGTTCCTCTGAAAGTTAAGTGTTTAGGAGATATTGCAAGTGTTACAATGTCAACAAATATAATTTAAGTCATCTGCAATAAAGGCGAATTGACCACTCTTAAAGTGTATGCACACCCAACCAATAAACTCTTCTTTAATTCCCTTTGGTCTGGTAAATATACCAATGGAAGCGTTTTGTTATATCTTTTGATAAGTGCAAAAAATATCTGTTAATTTTACCAGAAATCTTGTGAGCTGATAACTTCCTATGATCTCTGCCTTTGCACAAGGAGGGATTATGGAGATGTGGTGAGAGAGAAGATGAGGTAAGGTCTGTGTCCTCTTTAATGCAATTGAAAATAAGTAGCCCAGGACTGATGACACGTGCTATGGAATCCAGAGGCGAAACTACACTTGGGGGAATCTAATAATGGCTTTGCACTACTATGCTGCATTGCTACTTTGGACCACTTTTGTGCTTTAAAAGGTCCTGCGCCAAATTTAGAAAAGCCCTGTAGCCAGTTTCAGTAGCTTTACAGACACTTTCACTGACAGATTCAGGTAGTTCTCAATAGTACCACTTTAAAAAAACAGATTAGAAAATAATAACCGCCAGTTAACAGATTCGAATACTGGCGGTAATTAAGACCAACTCTGATCAGAGGGTGATGCCAGTGCTCAGAGTGGGGCATGTATGTGCTGAATCTGAATCATGAATCTGACAGTGTCATTGGTTACTAGGACACCACCAGCTGTCAGCATCTTAGTGACGGTGTGATGCTGACTGTGGGCGGAGTTTAAAAGAGAAACTGGAGGCCACAGTGTGCATCCTAATCGCAAATGGCAGTGCTTGGACCAAATTCATGTACCTGTCTCCAACTGGTACAGGAATCTGGGGCAAGCACTGACATTTGCAGTCGGATGCACTAGAGTATTTTAAGGAGGGTAGTAGACATTCCGGGGACTGTGTTGTCATGTCAAAGAGAAAGGTAGGAGCACACTATATCTCGAACACATTAACAGTAGTTTTTATTTACTTGCAGCGTGTTTAAAATAATAAAACATTGGAAATGTGCATGTATTGCAGAGATGTATCAAATATTTTTATTTTTTATTTTGCCTTGACTTACAATTTAAGATATATGGCTTAGCACACTGGAAGATGACCTGCCCAGGCCCTATTATATACTCACCCTAGGTGGGATCTATCATCTGCTTACTGTACTTTAAAATAGTGTACTTTAAAATAGTGACATTTTCATGAGAACATATGCATTGCTTCTATGTTTGTCACTTGTAATGGTAACAATTTAAAAAGCAAGTAACCGTATTTGCTCTTGTCTCTATTTTTTAAAATTAATTAGCTATTATATGCATACTATTTGCTATGCTTCTCAGCTCCATCTAATGGAGCTATGGAAAAATGTAGCTAGAGACAGAGAAGTGGCCCTGGAGGCAAACAGTTTGCTTCCAAGGCAGCTCATCTGTCCCAAGCTGCAGGTATTGGCTCCATGTGCGATTACATGTGTGGACTGCTGTGGAGTCATTGATCTGTACAGGCTTTTCAGCTGCAGCCAATTGTTGTTTTCAGGCCAGTCCCATGAAATACAGGGTCATCTTCTCCTTATCTTTTCCAGAGGTGGGTGGTTCTCAATGAAAGGACCATGGTCAATGCAGAGAGAGGCATCTTCTCAGGTGGCAGGTCCAATACACCTTGCACTTACAGGTTGTCTTCAGCCATGCCAGACTGACTGAGGACATCTAGTAGCAGATAGGAATTACTGCAGGTGGCAGCACTGGAGAGGAGGTGAGCATTGCAGCCAGGGCAGGTTTTATTGTTTTAAAACCACCTGTGGAGGATTTTATATTGAGTTTGCTTCATAATAATGAACAAATTATATTTTTAGAAAGAGTAAGCCCTTTCCATAAAAACAACGTAAATTTTATAGCATTCTTACAGCTCACATGCAAATATTTGAGTCTTTTCGTGTGTTCTTGCAGTGATATAATAATGCAGTATGCACTAAGAATCCAATGTAATGGGGCACCAGGGGTTTGATAAGACCTTAGTTTATTTTGCACCTTTTTATTTTGTCGGCTGCCTTTACTTTACTATCTTACACAATCATGGTCCCCTTATTGCCTCCTCTGTACTTCAGCGTGTTTTATTTCTTCACTGATAGTGTGCACACTTTGTACTTAATTTGGCCCAGGGACAGATATATGTCGGATTCTTGATGTCCGAGTCCTTAACAAGATTGAAGAAAATAGGTCACCAGCACTCCATAAGTTAAAATGAATGAGTCCTTAACAAGACCAACCAGGAGTTTTTTTTCTAGATATGCATACTACAGAGGCCTTGTAAAGTATCTGTTACAAAACAGAAAATGGAAGTAGTTGCTTTTAATTAGTGTTTTACTGAATGCATGTAGATTTTAACACAACCTTTAAATATGTAGTGACTTATATACGTTAACTAGGTGAAAACTAGCTAATTTTTAGCCAGAGTCTGCAGCACTGGCTCACCATATCAAATCTGTCATCATCACTCTATTCGACAGGGTGAAGCACTATGTGAATGATGCTGCAAGAGGAGGGAGAGTCATGCTCTATCCTTCTCCCTGCTACTTTCACATTTAGCAGTGCAGTACAGGGAGTCACAGTAAGCTGATCAAGTCCAAACTATTTCTAGGCTGGGGCCAGGTCAAGCTTTGCTGTGCAAGCATGACTGTCTGTGACTGAATTGTCTACCTGCCAGATTCATATTAGTTGCAGAATATTTTTTTTAACATTGCCTGCCATAAATGGCAGCATTTTTATATAATGGCTTACATTGGATCATAGCATTTTTATTATTTGTTGCTGTGTGTTAAAAGGACATTCATTTCATGGTTGCTACTAGTTCAAATATATTTATTTTGTTTGTTGTAAGTTGGAGAGCATGACTTTAATGACTTGTAGATTCCCAAAATGTTTTTGATTGGTTACTATGGCATACCTGTGGCTGCAATAGGATGCAACATTTAGCTAATATGAATACATGCAAAGCAAATTTTGCTCTGGAGTATAACAACCAATTTACTTTAGACCTAATTTTCCTAATCTTTGCTGGAAAAAACATGGAAGATGACTGATAGCTATGAACAGTTTGTGCAAGATGTGTAAGTTCTATAAGATCTGGGACCCCTGGGTTACTCATTTTCTGTCCAGGGAGGTGGGACAAATGTTCTTATTTCTCTACTGGCGACCCTAATAGTGGAACGGGTGGACGATATACCCTGGGTTCTCTTCCCTTAATTCTCTTCTTTTTCTTCTCCCTGTAAGTTCCGTAAGATCTGGGACCCCTGGATCACTCATTATCTGTCCAGGGAGGTGGGATGAATGTTCTTATTTGTCTACTGGCGTCCCTGATGGTAGAAATGGTGGACGGAATACCCCGGGTTCTCTTGTCTTTGTTCTCTTCTTTTTCTTATCTTTGCAGTTTTTCTGATATCTTTTACTTTTTTTTCTGCTAATCTCCTGCTCTTTACTTATCTTTCTTAAGTTTTCTAGTCTCCCACCATTAGTGTGGCTCTAATAGTGGGTCTGGTTCAAAGTCTTTATATGGGTTTTGAGTAGACCCATCATCATATTTGCATTTAGGATCCTACTTATGGCTGCACCTTGGGAAGTTTCCAAGGAAGTTTCGGCGATGACTATTGTTTTTTACTTGATGTAGTATGCTATTGTATGTGGCCCCAAAACCTGTATGGCATGGGTGTTGTTTCTGTGTAACCTTCATGAAAAAAATATTGTGGCTAGAAATACACACTGTGTAGGGGAGATGTTTTACCTGCCAAAGCATTTGTATTTCTGTACATCCAATTCTGAAATTTAGACTGCTCTGCCACACAACACAACACTTTCTGTCAAGGCAGTACTGTTCTCTGCTGCAGGCCATTAAAACTTAGCGGTCTTCTCCTCTCCCCTGCACTGTAACTGGACAGTAAAACCAGAAGCAGCACACTGATAGCTTATCTCTTTGTCAATCTGATCTCACTTCCTGTTAGCATGTTCCTTGCACTGCAGCACAACTGGTTTGCTTATTGTGCTGCTTCCAAATGAAAGTACTTCTTTCATATAAAAAAAAACATTTAAGAATGTATTAAGGAAGGAATACAGAGATGCATTAATATACATCTTATATGTCTCCTCGGCCTACAGATTTAACTGCAAGTAGTAGGCAAGGACAAGCAAATGAGCATGTTGGGTAGCATATGTTCACATGGGTTATATCTGAGTAACAATAGTTAAGATGTATAGTTTTGCAGAAGTAGAACTGAAGCCTATTAAATTATTTTGACCAAATATGTTTAGTATTGTGTTGTTAGCATTTTACGTGCCAGAATTTAAAGCATTGTGATGACACTTCCTGTCTTAGGTCTTTTGCAAGAACAACTGTCTCAATATCTCAGCTTAGACTGTGTATCTGTGTACTGTCTCAATATCTCAGCTTACATTGAAATTGCATTGTATGTTTTTAAAGAAAACATATGCTGTAAAGGATGCAGGTACACAAGGTAAGCACTTTTTTTCTTTATAATAAGTTTCTATTGAGTTTACTTTAAAGCTAAACTTCAAGTAAAACCTAAAGTTACCCTTGCTTTTTATGTTCCCTCTGGACAAAAATGAGCATTTAAGCATTGCAATGTGAGTAGAGCATGAGCATTTAAGCATTGCAATGTGAGTAGAACCCCCAGCTCTACTCACATTGCAATGCTTAAATGCTCATTTTTGTCCAGAGGGAACATAAAAAGCAGTTGTAATTACCTAAACCTTTGCTCCCGCAAGTTTTCTCTAGCTGCATGACCCCTGAAGCCACTTCTCTTGGTCACAAGCACTTTGATGTCATCAAATGCAATGCAGGACCAACAGTCCTGGATGACGAGGACCCCAAGTGCCTGCCCTCCAAGTGTCAGAGAGAAGAGAGGAAGGGGGTGACATATAAGGTAAGTAACACTCATTAGGGGTAACTTTTGATTTTACCCATAGGTCAGCTTTAAAATAGAGTAGAGTACAAATCATTGGACCTTTGGAAGAGCCCCCTCCTCCCATTGGCCATGACGCTGTGGGAAGGTTTGGAGGGGCGGTGGCAGTGTCCACCACGCGCTATTCTATGGCGTGCGAACGGAACCTCCCAAACGCCATGACGCGGTGACGCAACTACGTAATCGCCTCAGGTGTTATAGCGCCCGCCCAGGCCGCCAATGCTTAGATATGGCTGCTATGTGGCCTTGTGAGCATCGGCGGCAGAAGTGACCACAATTGACACACTATGCAGCTCAGCTTCTTCAGTGTGATCTTAAGCTTTCAGAGATTACAAGTTTGGCCATTTCCTTTTATTGCCCCGGAGTATTTTTCTGTATTTTTTTAATTGGATGGCTTTATATGGCTGATTATGATGGGAGACCTTTTAACAGGGATCAGATACACTGTCCAAGGGGTTTTTATATGCATATATGCAGTACGGGGATGTTTTTGCTAAATCTTAGTATCTATCTTAGTGAATTACTATACATTAATCGATTATCCCCTTTTTCTGGTCTAGGAGGATACCCTAATTAAGTATCCATGTCACTCATATCCCTTTCACCCTGGGGTGTGGTTCGATCTTCTATCTGAGCCTGGCTCCTGCCTGCATCATTCCAGTCGTTTGTATACAGATTGCTTCCGAACTCGGTATGTGATATTACAATAATTGTATTAAATCAAATAATATAATGGATAACATACAATCTTGGATGTTTATTTATTTTCTTATGGTTACTTAGATTTCCTCCAAAAAACAGAAATTCCAGATGAAGCGATTGGTGCACGTAACGCGTTGAATGCTAACTATGCCACATATTAAGGAGGAAGCAACTTTGTGCCAAGTTATTAAAAGAACACACTTATGGTCTATTTTTCTTGAATATGCTTTACTTATGTTTTGAAGTAGTGTTTTGGAGACGTCAATACCAATATACATAATGAGGAAGGAAGCATGGATACTTACAATCATGTTTTATATAGTTTTATACTTTTATTTTAATAAAGAGTTTTTGATACAGCATTGCAGCAATTCTTGGTTTTGTCACCAGGCAACTAAAAAACCCCATATACCATTTTAATTTTATTACCTGATCTATTAGGGGTGTGGTGCCAATCAGTCAAGGGTCTTTCACAAAACTTTCTTTTAGAGTACAAATCAAGCTAGCTTTCCAGATGACATATATTTCTAAGAAATCATCAGTCACTAAGATGTTACTTGACACTAAAAAATGTAAAATAGGGGACCAGCTTTGAAAATACAAATACCTCAAAACATAAGACAGCGTGGTTCAACAGTAAATAAGCAAAATTTGCAGCTAATAGCTCTGTGACAAAAGATTTAAGTAAATGTGATTTCTTGTACCTTCCCCCCTCAACACTCAAATCAAATGATCCCATTGAGAAGCAAAAGCTGTGCAGACAGATGGTTAAATCAGTTTGCATTCCCCAGTGCATAAGACAAAATCCAATTGATATAGAAAAAGCACCAAGGCAGAGAAAAAGAAGGAAGAAAGAAGAGGGAAAAAAGGGGTGGGGAACAATGTCCCATCTGTTGGCTAAACTCCCAAGGAGCGCAAAAGCTACATTGTTAGCAAAGGCCGATCAACATATGAATGAACGTAGTCGTTGGTTTTCCATTTCCAATTCCATTTTTTTGTTTATTGAGAAGTGCTTCATTTGTATTACGCTCTTCAATGGTAGTAAAAGCTTTTTGTGAAAAGACATTTAATTAGACATATGACTATCAATTTTCCAAGTGCCACTAATAAAAGTTTTGAGTGTACACCGTGGCCTGCATGGCTTAGGTTGCTGAACCCTGTTATAAATCCATGTATGAAATTGCATAGCCTCTCACACATTGCACGGGCAAACATAAAAATAATATACATATTTGGTAATTATGACATTTTAATACCTGGTATTTTGCCCAGTCACGATATGTGATATCTCCTCGAGTATGAAATAGATGTTGAAGATGTGTAAAAGCTTAAGATACTTTGCCCTGTTTCATGGGAACTGAAGTGTACTCCTGGGTATTTTAGCAGAAAGTGGTCTCCAGAATTCAAAAAAGTCCCCTATAACTTATCATTGAAGGATAAAGAAACATCCATTGTCTTTGACTACAGGCTATTAATGTATACCACATATTATTTTTAACATGTATAATGTATTAAGGTCACAAATGTATGCACAATAGAAAGGTTAAGGTAAGGTTAATAAGGTTATTTTGGTAAAGTAGTTAACTTGGCTTAAGTTTAGAGGATGGCATTGTAGATGTGGATAGACACATCCTATAATTAAAAGATGCCCTTGTCATCTTATTATCTTGGCGCTGTTTCCAATGAAGGAAGCTAATGGTTCTATCACTACCTTTAACATAGTGAAGGATAATAGGCAACTTGCAGGATTTCTATACAAAAAGGGAAGTGATCCAATTGAATATTTTAAAATAGTAAAATCTTTTCATAGGTACTATTCTAGGAACACTTGCCCCAAGTGTTAAATGATGGAACACTTGTTCCATCATTTATACTTTAAAGTTCTGAGGGAATGGTATCCCTAAAATCAAGTAAATGGATAACATGTAAGTGTGTGAGGAATAATGGAAATAGGTACCAACTCATTTAAAGTTTATCACCAATTTTAGCCAAGTTAGAGTTCCCAAATACATTTTTACTCTATTAGAGGGGTACTAAATTCCACTTCCAACTTTGAAGGAAGGAATGATATCATGTAGGGATGTTCAGATAACAGTGCTGATACTTGGTATTTTCACAAGAACTACAAGGGTTGCAGCGGTTGCAGCTGGGACCTGGCTTTGGCGCTCCACCACTGTCCTGAAATCATTAGTCTGTATTGTTTTAGAAAAACTGTCACATGACAATGAACAAAAATGTACCAATACTTGTATATGTAAGTACTTGGACAAGTATCAGTACTTGTACTTGGTATCAGTGCACCCCTTATATATATTTATAAAAACACAAATCATACATTAAATCACACATCCCAGGAGCTCTGTACGCTTGTTAAAAATGACAGCTGCCTCCTAACTTTTGAATTTTTCTCTAGTCTAGTCTTGGAGCTGGAAAAGCATCTGTACTTGTACTTGGTATCTGAACATCCCTAATAGCATGGATAAATATATGAATGAAATGTGTGCCTTGATTGTCCTGATAGGTGCTTTGAAACAGGTCTGGAACAACAAGCAGTCTTTTTTTTTTTAATAACTGAATAAATAAAGAGTTTCATTTGAAGATTGCCAAAATGTCCCTAGTTAGGATATGGCAGTTTACTTAGTGATTTGAACAACCTAACCCACTTTTAGTTATTTAGTACATAAGAAAAATGTATCCTCTGCCAAGTGAAATTGTTGAAACATTCAAGTCTATGATAAAACATGAGAAGATGGTAAATGCAGACATGGGGATAAAAACTTTCTGGGATATTTACTATTCTTCATTTTTTTTTTTTTAAATGGGCACTATTTAGATTTTTCAAGTGTTTCCTGTAAGCTGGGATGATCTGAACAATTCAATTGCAATTGATCAAAAAATAATAAAGGCCCCCAGACTAACCTAGACTGGAGCCTTCCATGTTGTGTGCAGCAGCATCAGTTGTGCAACTTTAACATGTGTTTTGTGTAATAGCATATTTTATAGGTGGCAAACCAAGTCTTCCTTGCTTCCTGGACCTATAAAAGATTGCCTTAGGAAAGGATTTTATAATATAAATCATAGACAGGATAAAGACTCATTCAATTCCTTTGACTTCAGGATATCAATGTATACCACAAATTATTATTACCTTAAAAACCGCATTAATGTCACAAATATGGTAATAGTGAAACAGACCTTTGAGCTGAAATGGTACCGTCCAATAATAACTCACTGTCCTGGTGCCCCACCTGCATGGTATGTGCCAATGCAAAGCTGTCTAGCATTGTGTAGGGGTCCTTTTCCTTTTTGTCTTCTATTTGTTCAGTTCTACTCTTTTTTTAAAATTATTTTATTATTTGTCCATGTTCCCTTATTAATATTTCCTAAGCTAATTATTTTATTTTATTTCTTAGAAATTTACTTTGTTTAATGCCTCACTTTCTATCAGTCTTCTTTCATTTTATTATTTTATCTTTTAGTAGTTTTGTTTTTTTAGTTTATCTAGACCACTATTAGTTTCACTAAGTTCCTTTTTTATTTATGTTTTGTCTTTATTGTATTTGACCATATACTCATTAGTAGATCATATACAGTATATAGCACTTGGCACTTTACTGCCAAATATACTGGATATAATAGTGAATTTATACTTGTGAATCAATAGATGACCTCTGGAAATATGTCTCTGGTCCCACATGGCACCATTGTAACTTAGCAATGCTAGTAATTTGTAAGCATATTGGTTTGCTTGTAACATTCCAGTGGTCACTCTACCATAACATTGGAGGTAATCTCTTGTAAAAAGTCAACAGTCTTTTGGGACGTGTTAGATGATTCTAGCAGTTGTGTTGAACACGGCAACCGTAATACTGTGCTGTTGTATATTAGCATAAAGTTTGTGATCAAAAGACATGTTTTTTTCAAACTGTTACATCCTCAACAGGAATAAACCACACTGGTTAAAGCATGTCAGTTTAACTAGGGGGGTACTTCACAAAGCTGCCGAAGGCAGCCGTGTGAATAAACGACCGGAAGTGAAGTGAGCCGAACGCTGTTCGGCTATTCACTTCAGGCTTGTACGGCTGATTTCAGCCGTACACCGACTGAAATCAGCTGTACATCGGCTTGCTGCGGCTGGCGGCTTTCGGCTCGGCTATTCTGCTCGGTACCTCTGTGGTCCCGAGCAGAATAGAAAAACAGTTTTTAAAAGTAGAAAATCCCTGTAGGGATCCCTGTAATAGCAATGGTGACATTTATCT